GGGGCCGAGTGGTCAAGGCATTTACTGGAAAGACTTTACAAGTGCTGAAATGCCACGAAAACAATGTATTGTAATTTATACCCCATTCAATATTCCCTCATTTAACTGGTCCATTCGACGGGAACGATTAAAACAGATGAACTCTATTGATTGTGCATAATTGTTTGGAATATTAATCAACATGCGCAGCTATCATGGTGTAAGATGATTTCATTGAGAGTGTTTGGATTAGATAATTGAGATTTTATTCAAAAACGGTTAATTTGGCTAAATGAAGCCAGCAGTGTGGCTGTTTCACATTTAGACACTTAATTACAGCAGCTAGAGGGTAATCTCTTTTAGCTCCGGAGCTCGGGGAATAGCGTATAGTCGGATTGCTCCACGTGTTTTTGATTATTCACATAACTGGAAGCTAATTTCAGAATTTGCCATCTAGAAATTCCGCCTCCTAATTCGGAAAACGATCCTCTCCTAATCCACGCTGCTTTATTGCCACCCTGAGTAAAATCCATTAAAATGAATGCATCACACTGCCTGCACACACAGCGCAGACGGACACTGTGCGATGGTGAGCGACCGCCTTGTAGACTGTGTGTTTATGGCAGGTGGTTTTGCAAAGAGCCTCCCTCAGTGTTTACCAGTGAGGGCAGATGTCAGGGTTTGCTGTGGAGGAGCAGACACAGCCACATCTGATTAACAATATTATTGTCCTCCTCCACACCGCCATAAAGACTCATCCCCTCCCCTCTCCCCTCCTCTCCAAGCCTCCCCCTTTTTTCTTTCCTTTCTTTCTATTTCGGGCTCTGGCAGCGTGCTGTCCTGTGGCATGGCTGAACCAGAGTGACACCGCCACCATCCATAGAAACAAAAAACGAGCCAAGAGCCAGAAGGTTAACAGACACACACACACACACATACACACACACACACAAAACAACGGTTTCTTACCAGACACAAAACACAGAAATGTCTGGGGATGCATACATAAAAAAAAATATCATACTGTATATTCAAGAAACACAGAGGATCGTTGTTTTTTTAAGCAATTATGGAAAATATGTAACTTGAATACAGAACAAATGATTAGCATGGCTGCAACAAGTGAAGCAGCAGGAGGTGAAATTTACTTACATCTCAGCTTGAAAACAGACATCAGAGTATAAATGAGCCTCATGGGAGAGAGCGAGTGTGTGTGTTTATATGTGCATCAAACCCGTGTGGTTGATCCTAACCCTCTTAATGCTCTGCTGTTTGTTCTGATTGGCGATTTTTCCCCCTCTTTTCTCCTTTCTGTCGCCAAACTGTCACGAAGGCACTAACCCGGCACGTTTCGGAGCTTCTTATTGAAGACAAACAATAAACCACTGGCAGATATCAATGGCAGAGATGAGAACTCGGGTGCCATATCTGCTGGGACTGGCTGGCGAACCTGCCTCTGCCTGCGCTTCATCTCCAGCAGCACCTCTCACTCTCAATTATTTGGCTGCTGTCACAACAAATCAATCAAATTACCGCTCCAGGACTGTGTGCAGCTGCTCCTATTGCACCGCTAGTTGCATTAGCTTTGAAATGTATGAGGTCTACATTTTATCACTGTTATTTATTTAATGCGGCTCTCTCCCCTGCGAGTCATCTTACAACCACAGCAAAGTTAAATCATTAAAGGACGACGTGGAATACATACTGCTCGAGAACACTTCAAATTAAACAGTGATAAGGGAGAAGGGATGGGTTTAGCCTCTATTGTGTTAAGATGGCAGATGCGGGTGAGGAAGTGTGAACCGCTTGCGCGTGGCGCTTCCTAATGCACTCTACTACTGGCTGAATGTGCCCACAAACAGCAGCGGCTCGTTTCTTTTCTCTTCTACCCCCCAAAATGATTTGAAACATACACAAGAGAAAAGCAGCCGCACAATGAACGGCTGCTGTGTTTGTAACAAGCCCAAAAAGAATATCTGCAACTCTCTGGCTCTGCTAATGTAATGGTTAAAGGGACACGGAGGCATTCCCACAGAGGACAGAGGAGGCAGAGGTAGTCAGCGGCCCGGCCCGGTGAGCTAACCTCTTAAAGGAGCAGCAGTCAGCTGAGGCAGAAGAGATGCAATCTGACATGTCTAACTAGTGTGGAAACATTTGGCTCTTCCCCCCCAGGAGCCCACCCTTTGGTGGTGTAATGAGCAGAGTGATTTCCCTAATTTGTATCACGGCAAAACCCACAACCTGCGAACGACACCGCTGAGCGTTTTCATCAAAACGGCAGACATGCCTTTGATTGGCACTGACACGGGGTCTCATTACTGCAGGTGAGTGGGATGCCGACCTTTATCAGGAAGCTTGAGTGCTGTTTTGTGTTTCCTGCGGACGAGTACAGAGGAACAATGCTCTCACCTCACCATTAGAACTCGGCTCTCTGATGTGATGTGCTCCCTGGCTTTCTGCTGAGAGCAAATAAGATGGGATATGCTTATTAATATGAAAGCGCTCCGGTAAACTAGCTTCTTGCATTACCTTTGAGTGAGTCGTAGAGGAGAGGAGTAGACAGATGAGACTTTGTTCTGCTTCCTCCCAATGAGCATTACATGTATAGAGCTTTGAAACAACTAGTTTTACAAGTATGGTAATCATGCTTTGCTTGTTATGAAGTAAAGGCCTATTAAAAATGCAGCAGAAAGGTAGCGTCATATTCAAGACCAGAAATCTGCAGATGTCTGCATCAGTCGTGCATACTTAGATCTGAAATTGTGAAAATCATGTATGATTTTCTTTTATTTTTATTCCTATCAGCCGTCATATTTACAGACCTCTAGCATGACCCAACCTAGTTTTTGCCTCTGTGAAGTCAGCTAGAATTGTGTGCACTCTGTCACAAAAGATAACTTTCTCCCTTGTTTAGTTTCATTGGGGATTTGTTTTTACTGCATGTTTGCAGGCATAAATCATTCTGACAAATAACCAGTTACACTGGTGCTTGTGTTTACTGAGTCTGCCACAAGATGCTGCTCAGTTTTATTTAAGCAACTGCTCCAACTTTATAGCACAACCCCATTACAGTGATAGTTATTCATCACAGTCTGAGAGAGCTGCCCTCCTAAAGCTAGTACAAGTCCAGTCGGTTCCCTTCTGTCAACATTTATTCTCACAGAGCCAGCTTTGATTAGCCTGATCAAAAACGCTGCGGTTACTGTTTCTCTTTTTACTTCATTTCCCTCATTAAAGGTTAATATAAAAATGCAAAAAGTGCATGCACTGAAATCCCTCATTTCATCTAATATAGCTAGTGAAACATGACATCCTGACAATGTACAGAGATTTAATGTATCTAATATCCTCTGTCCTACACCGCCCACTCCACAAGACAAACAGCCTTATTAGTTGGTCATTAGCTGCCTCATTACATTTAAATACAGCCATTGGCTGGGCTCCTCCCAGAGTCTCATTACTGTGCCTCACTGTTGTCTTCTGTCTGATCTGACACTAATTAGCGAGCAGTGTGAACGCTGTAAACTACACTCGCTCCCAAAGTCGTGAAATGAGCTGACTGCTCCCTGGCGACAGTGCGGCATCGTATTATATGTGTGATTAATCAGGCCTGGAGGGTCTGGGAGGGGGAGCGAGGGGGACACGGGGGCAGAGGCCAGAGCTGCAGTTGTCTGACAGAGGTGCTGTGCCAGCAGGCCTCATTCAGCGGAGCTGTGATGAACTCAGACAGGGGAGAGTGGAGGAGCGCAGCGTGGCTAGAGGGGCCCGGACACAGTCAAGACATTTAGCTTCACTCGTGACTTGTGTCACTTTCTCTCCACGGAGGTCCCTTCAATGAATCCCCTTCAGATAAGAGGACGTGCGAACAGGCAGTCTGTCAGTCTGCACGCTTAAAAAAAGATCTGCCACAGAGGCATTTCTCCACAACAGTTTTTTTTCCCCTCTGTCTCTCTCTTTGTGTCTCTGATGGCTGTAGAATTTTATCAGGACATTGGACTCAGATTCTTTGTTGGTTTGTTTGGCAGTGGACAATATGGATGACTGAGAGGTGTTTGTTTTGGTGTTCTGACACCCTGACAATGTGTTTGTCGATCAGTTCATCGGATCGCTGAAGCCTCTGGGTTGTCCCTCACGCACCACGAGGAAGATGTGTTGAAGTGTGAGTCAGACGGGCCTGCTGGGCCCATTATCGTCCACTACTGACGGATACATTGAAGGGCTCGCTGGATAGATGCGGGTTTATTAAAAGCTCTGCCCACAGCGATGGCTGCTGTTATTTATGCATGTTTGTGTCCATTAGGCCTCTACCTCCACATTTCCTCACTCAGGGCATCTGTCCATCCATTTCCCCCACATGAAGGGAGACTTCCCTGCACTTTGTGCTGCACTGGCATTATTGTAATCTCCCTCCTAAAAACACACTGCTTTACATGTAGCCTGGCATCTTTTTACATTAGTGCGGCTCTCTCATCTAAGATTTATGGCTGACGGTTTCCCCATCCATCCCTCAATCTAATGGTATAAAAGAGACAATGTTTTAAACATTAAAATGAAAACCATTTACAACTATGATCAAAAGAGAACACTTGGGCATTAAAGTTTAAAAGGCAAGGATAAGTACAGCCATGTGGATGGACAGATGAGGTGGAAAAGAGATAAAAAAGTGAAGTACAGTGCACTCTTATGCACAGGAAAGAGGCATAAAGTGCTTCTGTGCTGCACTGCAAAACGCTGACCTGTAATTAATATGGTTGGTTCCTCTGGGCAAGTCGAGGATAGCTGCTTTTTGGGATCTAAACCCCTCAAGGACTCTTACCTGGCCGAGACCTCTAAAGCATTTTGTTGGGGAAAAAACATTGTTCAGTGGCTTAAAATGAATGCGCACAAAACTCTTACTTGTTTTATGTATTACTAATAACTCCCGAATCGTCTGCTCTACACGAATACGAGGCAATAACAATTCCTGAGAGTAGCTGGGTCATTTTTCTGCAGCTTCTTGTCTACAGCTCCCTTTTTCTCACCTTGCAGGTTCTGGAGGGGGAGCGTCATGATGCCCCCCGCAGCAGCAGCAGCCACCAGGCTCTGGATGTTGGCGGTGGGCAGGGAGAGCACCAGGCCCTGCTGCCCGCCCAGGTGCCCGCCTGCGTTGAAAGGAATGAGGATGGGCTGGTTCAGGCCTGGCGCCGCCCCGGACATCACGCCACCTACCGCGTTAGCCAGTTGCTGCGCCACCAGGAGAGACTGAAGAGGGCACACATAAAAACACACACACACACGCATAACATCATAGGTCAGATAATCGCGGTTGCTTTTCTTTAAAATGTTATAAAAGTAAGGTTTAATACATCATTCGATATATTTCTATGTTTGTGCGAAATAAATTGTGTTTATGATCTTATTACTTGCAGTTATTTCAGATTTTACACACACACACACACACCCACACAGACACACACATACACACACCAATGAAAGTCTGCATGAATATTATAAATTTACATCAGTATTTTGATTAAAGTTGCAACTTTAAGCTATAGTTTTTTATTTAGACCCACTTTAGAAGACACTAATGCCAAAAATGATTTCATAAAGCAAACAGTAAAACATTTAGTGTGATATGGGTAAACGTATTGTTAAGACACAGAACTGTGCTAAAATCTTGAGGCCCTTGTTTCTTTAGATTTCGCTTTCAAGGTGTCAGACTTCCATGTCATCATGTCATCCTTTGAAATCAATGAAAGGATGTCAGGAGAAAAGCACAGAGTGTCTATAGCTATCTGTAAAACATGGTGGAGGCTCTGTCATGGTTTGAGGCTGCGGTGGTGTTGGAGATCTTGTCTAAACCGATAGAATTATGAACAATGAAAAGTATCATCTCATTTTGATATACTATCCAGTACTATCTGGAAAGCATCTGATTGGCAACAAATTCGTTTTTCAGCACGACAATGACCCCAAAGAGTCATGGACCGGCCTCCCCAGAGCTCGGACTTTAAGGTTATTGAAGCAGCGTGGGATCTTTACAGAGAACAAACTGGAGCTAACATCCCAAGTAGAGCTTTGAAGCCTATTTAGAAATTACAATAACAGCTGCCTAAGAGAGTTCAGACTGTGTTGGTCACACCAAATATGCAGTTTTAAGCTTGACTCTGTTTTTATCTTATATACTACATTTCCATGTATATTTGAAGGTGTTTCAATAAATTACTGCACCTATATCCCAGAAAATAAAGACTCTGCATATTAAGTGCTGAACATACGCGCTATTTTAAAATCCTGACATGCTTAATGGAGACAAGTGCAGCAGATGTTCCTTGACTTCATAACCAATCAGTGTGTTCTGATGAATGCAGCTGTTTTGCAGCTGAAAGCTGTGCTGCTTTGCTGTGTCACAGACTGACAGTCAAAACACACTGCTGTTGGTACTGACAGAAATCAAACCCCATCTTTGTGAAAGAGCTGTGATTTTTTTCCTTTCACAGAAATGCAGTGATTCATGTTTCATCCCACTGAACAAATCCCTGGTACCACGGAATAATGTGCTTGAAATACACAGTCTTTTTTTTTTATAACGTAGCAGTACTTTGCCCTTTTGATGAGTGATATAACACATCACTCTCGTCTCTTCATGTATCCATTCATTCATATTAGTTAAAGTGGAATCGCTGCAGTCATACCCATAGAAGAAAAGATAAGTTATCACAAGTATCGCTCTGAGATATTTTGCACACTTGAAGCTCTCTTCATGTATTTTCCGAGGAAGTGGGGCTGGGAAAAATACACCTACACATTTATCGTTGAGAGTTTTGAGCCCAAAGTAGGAAGGATTGTGCCATGGCTCTACAAATACACACAAAATTACACATTAATTTGCATTTATTGTCATTAATCATTGATTAAAATTGGACCGAGAACATTTAAACGTGGAATTTGAGTTGTTTGGGAGTCAAATAATAAAAGCGCGTTGTCACTTTGTGTTGTGTCCCCAACAAAGCAGGCTGCTTTGGACATTAGTAGGTGAGTCTGGGCGCGCTGTGGTGCGACTTTAAGTTCACAAAGCTTTAACTCCAATTGTCAGCTATCTGCTTGTGTTTTGCATGGTGTGTCTGCAGCTTGCACAGGATGCAGAACGAGCTGACTGGTGTGAAGCGGGCCCACCCTGCTCTCGAGCCTGGTGCTCATAGGTGACAGGCGTGTCACTGTGATAACCTTGTGTGGTGCATAACGCCCGCTCCCACTCCGACGTACATGTGATCGCAGTTTAAGAGGTACAAGGTCACGTTGGTTTAAAGCCAAAAAGCATGGCTAAAATATCCGCACTAAGAGACAAATGAACACCAGTTTGTGTTTCTGAGCCGTTAAAAGGATAAAAAAAAAGAGAAAAGCTTGTAGAGGTGAACGCTGCTGGCAGGAGTTTTCACACGCACGCTGTAAAGGATTCCTCTTTCTCAACATTTGCTTTGATACGCAGCAACAGTGCATAGCATATGACAAACTGACGCTTCTGACAGCATTCGAAATGACATTTGCCATTAACTTTAAAAAATGAATTAATAATTCGGGAGCTCAAAGAATCCTCAAAGGACACTAACAAAGGCGACGCGTTTGTTAGCTGCAAGTGACACGTGTTTAATCTCAGTTTTTTAACTCAATTTAATCTCAAATCGAAGCGGCGCATAATCAAAGACGCTCTTTGAACATTTCATCTCTGAATCAAACAAAATGAGATTGCCAGGCTTGACAGTAAAGACAGCCTCACATGGAAGGGAATAACATTAAAAGACAATTCTGCAATTATCAGATGTAGCCCTGATTTATTTATCATTACTGGCAGCTCTGGAGAAGCAGACAGCTGTTAGGCACAGAGGCAGCGCTGAAGAGAAAGCACTGTGGAGATTCTTTAAAGCTCGAGTGAGCTCTGGGTGTTTAGGCTGTTTGTTGCGCCAGTTTAAGCCTGATTATGATCTTCATCTGCCGTGCGAGGGCTGCATATGTGCGTGTCAAAATCTGAGATGAGAAAGAAGTTAGCGAGAACATAATTAGCTCAGCTTTGCAGCCAGCGAATCCCCTGCGTCGCTTATCCGGATTTTACAGGCAGTTCACCCTCTGCCTTTTCACCTGATCCTCTCACTCGTCCTCTCCATAGGTGCTGCTGGAAAGCTGCTGTACAGTGCTTGGCAGACCTGACAGCTGAGTGTTGAGAAGTGGTCTCCCAGGGGCCGCACAGGCGCACGGACTGGGTGTGTGTGTTCGGCTCTGGAAGGGGAAGCAGCCCCACTCAGGACTCGATGTGGTACCCAGCCTCTCTGCCCATCAGGGGAGAATAGGCCCTTCTATCTGCTTGGCAGCTCTGGCACTGAGAAATTGCCCATAATCACCCAGATAGCAGACTTTTGTCATCCTAACTGCGAGTGGGAAACAGAAGGAAGGTAGATTCATGTTGGGTAAACTACCATCGGATAATGGTTGTTCGAACAATATCCGGCTCTGGAGCGAGAATCTATCAAAACATATTGATCCTGGAACAAGAGAATTGGGTATGGCATGCGGAGCGCCTTTGTTTCTGAAAAGTGTTAGCTTCACAGAGACTGTACTGACAGCATTAATATATTAGATGGTGACTGTTGAGAGCCGCCTGCTGAGGCTCAGACTGTAACTGCTGCCTGCTTGAGAAGCTTTCTTTCCCCTGTTTATTCTTCTGTTTATTTCTTATCTAATAGTAAAACAGCAGATTTGACCAGGGAGGGTATGTTATCAGAACAGCGCTTTTAATTAAGGACATTTTTTATCGCCACTTACGCAGACTGACTCTTTCACTCGAGATTCCTCACCCTGCAAACCTTCCCAACAGACCTGAATTGCTCTCCCAACGTCTCATGTTTCCTCTTTTGTCTCTCCTGATGAGGACTGACTGTCATTGACTAACACTGAGTGCAGGGAGAATGGCCTTATTAAAGCGGGTGGAGGAAACCTGACACTCTGCGAGTGTGCATGTGTGTTGAGCGGTGACATTGAGCAACGCTAATGAGATAGATGTTCATTAAACATCGCAGAGCCACCAGGCCAATAAATCCAATCAAATAGGACAATGCCTGATTGAGCTATTAACAAGGCTGCAGGCTCAGGCTCTTTGCTCCCAACGTTGTTTTGACAGGCCCTGTATTGTCAGCTCATTAGTGCCACAACTCAATAACATTTGAAGATGATGTGTGCTGATTAAATACTTCACAATTTCACAATTTTGCTGAAAAGAATTCAGAGGATTCAGCTCAGGCGTTTTTCAGTCACCACGTGCACTGAGATAATAAGGCTACGTTCACACTGCAGGCGAAAGCGCATCAAATCCGATTTTTTTGACCCTATGCGACCCATATCCGATCATGCTATGACAGTGTGAACGGCACAAATCCGATATTTTCAAATCCAATCTGGGTCTCTTTCGTATGTGGTACTGAATCCGATACATATCCGATGTTTCAGAAAGCGACTGCTGTGTGAACGGTCAAATCGCATTAAATCCGTCTTTTACGTCACTGACACAAGACAGACGTCAATTATCAGTGCCGGAGAAGCGCCCTAGAAGACATCGCGAACGCTTCCTGGCCATCCGGTGAAACTGTTGGGAAGACAATGTTGGAGAAACGTTAACATTTTATTTGTACTGCATAATCTGCAGACTTTTACAGAAATCTGCAACTATCCTTTGAAGCACCGCTCCTCTCTAAAACAGCAATAAGGATCATTATTAGGTTATCTACATTATTATGTAGATAACAAAATAACTTAAAGCAAAAATTGGGGAACGTGAAGTCTGAAGTCTTTATATTAAGGCCCATCAGTCAAACAATACTGTTTGCTCTGGGTGTACAGAGCGCATTGTGTGTGACGTCTTCTTCTGCGCATGCGGGCCGCTTTGAGCGTTCACACTAGAGCGCGTTTGCTGTCGCATTTTATTTGTAGTGTGAACACGCAGACAAAAAAATCGGATTTGATCAAAAAATCGGAATTGAGCATTAAGACCTGCAGTGTGAATGTAGTCTAAGACTCAATCTCAATCTGGGTGTGTAATCCGAGTACACATAAGACCCGTGACTCTGATGAAAGTTGGTATACTTAAGAAAATAAAAGCGTGCCTTATAAAATAGATAGAAAGACATTATTGGCCACGGAAATTGTCCCGCTTACTAAAAATACAAAGAAAATAGATCAATTAATTTAAAAAAGGATCATTTTTAGAGACTCTGAGTCTAATTAAAGCTGTCAAGGACGTAGAGTTATCTCTTATCCACTGAGCTGGTTCCTTTTGAGAACAGGCTTGAGAACTGTACAGTACACAGCATTATGTAGCAGAAGTTTTAGGCTTCATCTTTCAAACTGTTAATGAATTTCTTGCAGGAGCTCCTCCTACAGCCTCTGACATCATCAGCACCAGCGGCAAAAAAAATGAGTGGAAATGTATAGAACTGGTTGGAAATTTGGCACCGCAATTGTAAATACAGCAAAAATAAAGCCTTCAGCATCTAACTAGAAGAAATGGGGAGGTTTTTTTCTGTACTTCTGTAAGTTATCGAAGGTACCATACATATGCTTCATGCCTACTTCTTTATAATATTTAATTAAAGTGCAGTCAGTCAGTGAAAACTAATGAAACAGTCAAGATGGGGGAGACATTTGAGCGTTTAATTCTTAGCAAACAATAACTAAAGATCTCTCTTTTTTTAAGGCATTGTGTCTGGATTATTTAATTAAACTGGATGATTTCAAGAACAATTAACATTTGAAGGAAGGTTCTCGGGGGGGTTATATGTTCTTTGTGCATTTGAAGAGCCTCGTTTACCTTTATTTTTGTCAGCGTATTTCCTGATACTACTTCACCAAATGCCAGAAAAGTGCAAATGCCTTTACTTTTATTTGTCTAATATCTTATTAGTTTTCCTTTAATTAAATCCTACCTACAGTCTGTCAGCTTTATGAGAAATCCAACTTTTTTAGCTGAGTATCCCAGCTTGCATTGTGTAAATGTCTTTAACTTTTAAGATAATAAAGGTTTTCATCAAGCCTGTGTTCAGATTTTTGTGTATCTTCTCACTCACCTGTGGACCCATTGGGTATGCTGGGTGAGTCTGGCCCAGCTGACTCTGCTCGGAGGGACTGCTGCTGGCGTCAGATTGAACCGATCCGTCACGAGCTCCTGAAAGAGCAACAGGCAGAGAGAGCCATGTAGCAGAGTCCAAAGAAAAAGGGAACAAAACAAACGAACAAAAATGAAATCCACCTGAGATAGAGGCAGGCTGGATAAGTAGATAAATGCACAGCACACGGCGCACTGCGATGTTACAACATAGAGTCTCGTACAGAACAGAAGAGGGCAGCTGGGGAAAGAGGGGGGGTGGAATTTGTATTTAAGTGCTTTATCAATAACCGCTGTAGCACTGAATAAATTACCAACCAGCGGAGAGGCTCATTGATGGGGGATGATGCATACTGGCGGGTCCCCGATGGCCTAGATTACCGCTGAGAGATAGAGCTCCACCACAAATGCAGGGGCCACATTATTCAGCCATTTACATCACTGAGTATCACTCATCTAAACCCACCACCACCCCCCTGCTCTGGGCCTGCAGCTATGAGACACAATTAGACCTGTTTGCTATGAGGGCAGAGTGGAGCGGAGCAGACAGGGACATGATAATAAGCTTGCTGATGGCTGCAGGGAAAATAAAGGGCACCGATGATTGGTTATCAAAGCAATCCCTATCTGAGAGAATCTCCCAGCAGTCCTCTGAGTGTGGACTGCTCTAAAAGGTCCAAAAGGCTGATTTGACCCTCACCCTTTGACCCTGATGATATGGAGATCATATGATGCCTTATTATTGACACAAAGACTTAAGAGCACTTCTTGAAAAATCTTAAATGATCCTAAATATTTACTATCCGACTCTGGCGATTTAAAAAGAAAAAAACAAACAAACGAAAGACTCTGCAGTAAAAATCAGGATAAAGTGCAGCAAGAAGTGCGGATTTTACAATTACACGATCTTAAAAACAACATCAAAGAAGCTGACAAACACCTGATAAACAAGGCCCAACACACACAGTAACCTTCTATTGATTTTCATGAGAAGACTTCAAATATGAGAGTTGAAAAGAAGCAGTTTCATGGTTCAGAGGATTAATGTGTTTTGAATAAGTTGGTTAAAGTGAACGTGTAGCGCTGCAGAAATGTAATCTTGCAAAACTATTACAAACAAGGTCCCTCACTTTCTTACAGTCTTCCTGTCAATACAGTAGATTTCTACTCATAGATTAATCTTATTGATGGCACGTTTTATAATATTAACCTTAACCTGAGTGAACAAAGCTGCCTCTGATTGACCTTCAAGCTCTTATCCGAGGTATTTGCGAGTTCTATTTGGAGACATCTGTATCAAGTGATGGTTTCTTAGAGGATTTTTCTTTTTCTTTTTTACATTGTATAATAATTTGAGGAAAAAAAATGTCATCAGCGTGACATCATGTCCATTCCTTTTCAGCTCTGATTGATTTTTATGTAAAGGACATTTTTTTTGTCTCTTTTTACAAAGTTTAGTTTAGTAATTTCTAAAAACTATGGGAAATGTGCGCGCTTCCTCTGAGTACCATGTGTGCAGATAATTAATACATGATTTTTTAAAATTAAAAGTGCCTTATAAATGTAGTTAGTCTACAGGTCATGAAAACCATGTCATGAATTTTCTTATTTTGCAACTTACTAAGAGTTGGAGTGTATGTGAGAACTTCCTTTTTCTGCCAAAGTTAAATCAGCTCTGCGGATTTCACCTGAGAGATTTCTGTATTCATTTATTTTTTTCTGCTCATCTTTTTGAGTTGAAGCAGACACCTTTGGGACAAACTAGATGCCTCATGCTATCATGCATCAGTTAGGGTTCAGCAATATTTGATTCAAAACTGATGTCTGCTTAGGTTTCTCATTAGATCTGAACAACTGTACCCACCCTATCTCAATGAGGCGAAATGGCTCACTTCTTTTCAAGTCTGATTTTTCTAAATAAAGGCCTGAAAAAGCTTCACTGTGAACTGACAGCTGCTTATTTTTAGTCACAAATATGTCACATTATGTCAAAGACGGTGTCATTTTTTTTAAAATAAAGACGTCTGGCAATAATTGCCCTTTGTTGCACTGCGGCTGTGTCACTTCCTGCAATATTTCACATTGTCCACAGTGGAGAAATACAAAAAAACATAATGTTGATGTTATGTTTGATGTTTTCTTTTTGGATGAACTTAGGTGTAAGTGCTCGCTAACGCTATGCATTTTAAGCTTTGTGGCTAATTCATAATAAAATCCAGTCTTGTGCTTACAATTATATGCTGAGCATGAAGAAAATATTTACTTTGTATAAGCAGTACTTTATTTTTCTACACTCAAAAACATATTTATGCCAAAAATATGGAATCTGGAAGTATATGGAAGTATATTTTTCTTAAAGAATAATCTTTTGAATAAATAAACTTTTGATTTTATATATTTCATTTGCACTCAGGATGTTGCGGGTAAACTGCTGTTTTTTGAACAAATCCTGGACCTAGCCAGCAGCCATGGTACCATGAGAGACAGCTACCATGCTTCCAAAGCAACCAGGTTTTGCTAGCTGGCTGGTTTGAAGGTCATTTAGAGCCCCGCAATCCAAACATTGACCACCTGCTTCATGTTTCCTGTGAAAATGATATTTTTCTTCATCTTGACATCTCATTGGATCTTCTTCTTCATTTGGCTGCTCCCTTTCCCTTTGCCTCCATATCTCTCTATATCCCAAGGATCGCCTTCGGTCACATCAACTCTCTGCATGCACTCCTTCCCTACATCCATGAATCCTCTGTCTCTAACTTTGTCTCCAAAACACTTAACCTGAGCATCTAATCCTCTCCCAAAGAAAATCTAAACATTTTAAAATCTGTCACTTCCAGTTTTGCCTCTTTTTATTGGCTAGACAATATAAATCTTGTATCTCCACCCCAAAAGAGACCGTTTAACTTTGAGGGTCGTAGACACTTTGTCAATTTGTCCACAAATGTGTCATATTTCTCTGGACAGGCATCAGTCAGCGGGCTTGCGTTATACCAGAAGTGACAATAACCATGATATTAGAAAATTAAATGGTGATTTGATGTTAACAATACAGTTATGATGATTATTGCTCTTATGCACTGTTATACTCACAGAATCTCTCCCTACACTCGTATTATGAGTGTGAATCACTTGCAGAAATGAAAGCAAATAGACAATAAACAACATTAAAGGTGACTCATCTGAGGAACATGTTGTTTTCATGCAGTCTTTTGGCTACAAGAGAAAATCTGATATTCTGATATTGCCCTGCTAGCAGCTGTTGTTTGTTATGAGAAAACTGAATGAGTCTTGCTATTCTGCTGATCCTTAAACAGACTTAAGAGCTGTGTGTCTGCATAATTTAACCAACATCTGAAAGCTGAACTATGTGTTGAATATGTTGCAATGCTACTGGACTGGACAACCTGTGGTGGAAAGAAAGAAAAAGACTTTTTTTGTAGACTCTCAATAGACTAAAATGTTCCTGTTTTTTTGATGAGCTTTAAAATCGAAAGGTTTTCATACTTCTATTACTCATAGTTACCAAGTAAATTTACAGGCACAATAAAACTGACTTACTTATTTCAAAAACGCAGATGTACACAAAAAGAGGTTACATGTCATGTGGAATTTAATAAACCCGACCATGTTTTGAATGTAAGATACAAAAGGCCTCCCAAAAAGTTAACACATCTCTTTAAATGCACTTTATTCCTCATAAAACAAGTCTTCCCCTGAATATAATGGTAGATGAAATCAAACCAATCATGTGGAAATGGTTTTGAAGGCCACAAAACCTTGCTAAACTGCACAATGTCGGCAATGAATTGAAAAAAAAAAAATTAATCACATTTCCACTCAAAAAATTGATTTTCTTCAATGGAATATCACAGCTTTTAAATAAAGAATACATCCCTGATGCATTGTGTCTTTTTATTCACGGCCTTTCGTTTTTTGTTAAATATACTGGGCATGCAGTGGTTTCTAGTACTTTTATAAAAGCCTCATACAAAACGCACTATTCAATAGCCTTGCCAGCAAGATCTTATTGCCTGTCAAGTATATTTATGCAGTACATTTTAAAACTCTCCTCCGCCAACTAAAATCATTTCATCTTTGCATAAAATCCAAATAATTGGTGAATGGCATGACCCAACAAATGAACCTCAAGCATTTGATGGTTGATGTGAAAGCCCAAGGGGGAGCCTGCTTTTCTAGCTGGTTTCTACCTCTGGCTGGCTGGCCCTGCTTCCCGATAAAGGTCCACATCCTCTCGCTTATCAACCTCGCGACGCAGTGGCTTTTTTGACAAGCCAGTCTCTTTTCACCAATTATTTCACCCATTACAGATCATGCCGTGCCCGGCCCCACCCTGTGCACTCAGTATCTGGAATTAAGATCAGTCTGAACATACAGGAAATACTTTGTGGCTGTATTACAGTCAATAAAAAGCAGAGATACTACAAAAGCCGTCATAATCTGCTGTTATTTATTTGGAAAAGCAGAGAATAAATATTACAGGACCATAAATTGTTGCACTGGATGTCATTAGCCGTATTGTCTCCAAGCAGTTAATTCTCAGTTTGAACCTTATCAAATGAAAGCAATTTTCCTTCCTCTAGACTTGAAACGGCCTTATTTTCATTTACTGCAACTCAAACTTTCCAAGCATCTCAAAGCAATTCTCTAAATGCAGCTGCCACGCTGTGATAACAATAACACACCCAGTAGTGCTACTGAGCAACTTCTCCGCCAGTGAATTATCCAATTACCATCATAACAAAGTCAATTAGCAAAATGAGGATATTCATCTAATAATGAAAGAACAACACTTTATAAAATCACCTATAAGCTCCAGAGAGTGGGGCTGATGACTGTAGTTAAGATACTGGTTGTGAATAATAGATTCTATCTGATAAACAGTGCGGGAGACTTAATGAATAACGATTCGTTGATGCCTTTCATTGCATCATTTCACAATAACTTAGAAAGCTTCATCCCCCTTGCAAATATCTGTAACGTTAACATGTTTATCGCTGGGGAAGAAATCGATAATAAATAAATACACATGCACATCTCCC